ATTCTAATACAACTCTATTACCATATTTCTAAGTGAGAGCAATATCACCTCTTACCTGTATTAATGCAACAAATTCTAGTCTGTTCCTTGCCTCTAGTCATACTCCTCTGTGATTTATCCTCAACTCTGAAACAAGGTGATCTTTTGAAAAATGAAAACATGCTCATGTCACTTTTCTATTTAAAACACTTTAATAATCTTGCATTTCTACTGATGTAGAGTCTAAATGCCTTGGCATGGCTTACAGAATGTTTGCTGATCTTTCCAATCTCAACTCTCACCATTTCTCTTCTCTTGCTCTATGGTTCAGCCATAACAAAACGATCCTATTTCATTTCTTCTAAAACACTTCTTTAATTTTGAGTTTGCAAAATCCTGTTTTTAGTTTGTTGGAAATTTTACTCCATATCCAATTTTTATTTGGATTACTCATACTCACTTTTTGTGTATCCACTTAGAGCATAATTTTTTCCAGAAAAGTTTTCTCCCTTGTACATCCATATTCTGGTTAGATGACCCTCATCTATGCTCTTATATTAGTATAAACTTCTGCTATCATGACATTCATTATGCTCTATTTTAAATCTCTGATCACTTTTCTTCCTTCATCTTTCAGGGTAGAAACCATGTCCGTTTACCACTCTATCCCTGACACTAATCACCATGCCTAGCACAAAGTATGTAGTCAATAAATATTTGCTGAACAAATTAAGGCCTGAGTGTACAAAATGGAATTTAGTTCCACAACTAAACTGGGTTCTAGTTTGTTCAACGTTTTAAAAATGTTGACAGAAACTGGACATGTCTTAACTTTATTCACTACTATTGAGCATTTACTTTCTACTGCTGCTGCGTAAGTCACTTATGGAGTAACTCTAAACAAGCAGTGCCATTTACCCAGCCTGAAGTGTCCAGCCTCCCCAAAACAATTATCTGCGTATACCAGGTTCAGTTTCAAGTACATGACTTTATCCTTACTGTCTTTTCAAAGTGTATTTGCTGATACCTAGAGATGACTAACACCTCTAG